AGAATTGGGTACTCCCAGCAAACAGCCAACAAATTATTTCTGCAAAACATTAACAGCCAGTGACACAAGTACTCATGGAGGGTTCTCTGTTCCTCGCCGCGCAGCTGAAAAAGTGTTTCCTCCACTGGTATACTGTTGTTACATTAGTGTTGATACTCGTTCGTTCTTTTAGTTGCAATGATTTATCCTAATTTAATGCCATTACTTACTTTCAGGACTTCTCCCAGCAGCCTCCAGTTCAAGAGTTAATGCAAGGGACTTGCATGATAATGAATGGAAATTTAGGCATATATTTCGGGGTGAGCTTATTAAGAATCCGCTTTTCCTCTTAAGATAAGAATATTTTTTTTCTGCAATGCCTTCATACTCCTTAACTAACAGACATTGACTTGTTCCCGTGCAGGCCAGCCCAAAAGGCACCTCTTGACAACAGGATGGAGTGTTTTTGTAAGTGCTAAAAGGCTAGTTGCGGGTGATTCGGTGCTTTTTATCTGGTAGGTTGCTGGCTTGTCTTTCATTTTAGCTGGCTTTGTTCCCATTTTTTCTCCTCATCTGGTATAAGAAGATGCAGACATGAGATTATCTCTCTGGATTTTTTTCTGCTTCTCCTACTTCCTTGGTTCTCTAAAATGAAAATTGCAGTAGATTGTTGGTATGTTGATGCTCACACCAGCATATGGGTTATATTGACAGGAATGAAAAAAATCAATTACTTCTTGGAATCCGACGAGCTAATCGACCTCAAACTGTAATGCCTTCGTCAGTCTTATCAAGTGATAGCATGCACATAGGGCTTCTTGCTGCTGCTGCTCATGCAGCTGCAACAAATAGTCGGTTCACTATATTTTATAACCCAAGGTTTGATGCTACTGTTATGCCTTCTCAGATTGTCACTATTTGCTATGTTCTGATTATTGATTCCACAACCCATCTAAATTTTTTTGTTCAATACAGGGCTAGTCCATCAGAATTTGTCATCCCTCTCTCAAAATATATCAAAGCTGTCTATCATACTCGAGTATCTGTTGGTATGCGTTTTAGAATGCTGTTTGAAACAGAAGAATCAAGCGTTCGTCGGTAAGCTTCATTTTTTTTGGCTTTTAACAGTTGATTCTTCTAACTGTTTAAAATAGTTTTCCTTACAAAAGGACTAGATTTAACTATGGCACTGATGCCTGACTGGCTTGGCTTTCCTCGCAAAGGATTAAACTGCAATTTTACTAAGATATTCTGCTCCATATATGCTCTTTATAATGCCTTTTTCAATGTTTCTTTGCTTTCTGTCCCATCGCTTTGTTTTCTTGTGAACATTTAATTTGTATATGATGATTGTGTTTTCTTAGTTACATGGGGACGATAACTGGCATAAGTGACTTAGATCCTGTTCGGTGGCCAAATTCACATTGGCGATCAGTCAAGGTATGTTTAGAATGATTGCATTGATAATTTGTTTTTATTTTTTTTGAGTATTTGCACATTTGCTGTTTTAGATTTCTATATGCTGTGATGATAGTGTTGTAGAACTTATTTGTGTAGGTTGGCTGGGATGAATCAACAGCTGGTGAAAGGCAGCCAAGAGTTCCCTTATGGGATATTGAACCGTTGACAACATTCCCAATGTATCCATCTCCATTTCCATTAAGGCTTAAGCGCCCATGGCCTCCGGGATTACCTTCTTTTAATGGTATGCTAGTCTACTGCTAATTCCATGGCTATACTGTGTCAACTATTCAGTTTTCTCCTCTCTTCTTTAGCATATCCTTAATCCCTTTAATATGACTATCCTTGTTTGTAGGAATCAAGGATAATGATCTGGGCATTAGTTCTCTTATGTGGCTACTAGGAGATGCAGCGCAAGGAATGCAGCATCTGAATTTTCAAGGGATTGGGGTTACACCATGGATGCAGCCGAGGTTAGATGCCTCCATGCTGGGTTTGCAAACTGACATGTACCAAGCTATGGCTGCTGCTGCATTGCAAGAGATGAGAACCGTGGATCCTTCCAGATCAGCAACTACTTTCCTTCTAAATTTCCAGCAACCCCAGAATATCACCTGCGGGCCTGCTGCACTGATGCAGCCCCAGATGCTGCAGCAGTCTCAGCCTCAGGCCGTTCTTCCGGGTGTTGTCGAAGACGACCAGTCTCAAACTCAGCCACATCTACTTCAGCAACAATTGCAACATCAGAATTCGTTTAGTAACCAACAGAAACACCAGCAGCAGCATCCATTGTTTAATGGCCAACAGAAACATCAGGCCCAGCATCTGCTGTTTACTACAAACCAACAGCAACAGCAGCCACAGCATGCACTGTCACAGCAACAGCAGCCACAGCATGCACTGTCACAGCAACAGCAGCCACAACACATTTCTAGTGCAGTGTCTGGCTTATCGGTGTATGCTTCAGCCTCTCAATCCCAGTCATCTCCATTGCAACTCATACCTTCACTATGCCAACAACAGAGTTTTTCTGATTCCAATGGGAACCCTGTGACCAGCACTGTTGTTTCCCCTTTGCATAGTCTTTTGGGTTCCTTCCCCCAAGATGAATCTTCCAATCTGCTCAACTTGCCACGAACTAACCCCGTAGAAACTTCTGCTGCATGGCCATCTAAGCGGGCTGCTGTTGATGTTCTCTCATCCGGGTCTCCACAGTGTGTTATACCACAGGTGGAACAGTTGGGGCCATCCGAAACGAACATGTCTGGAAACTCCATCTCATTTCCTCCTTTTCCCGGCAGGGAATGCTCGATAGACCAAGGGGGTACAGATCCGCAGAGCCATCTCTTGTTTGGTGTTAATATAGAGCCTTCATCTGTTCTAATGCAGAATGGGATGACAGGCCTTAGGGGAGTTGGCACTGATAGTGATTCCACTTCTATACCCTTCTTTTCTAATTATATGAGTACTGCAGGGACTGATTTTTTCATTAATCCAGCAATGACACCTTCAAGTTGCGTTGATGAATCTGGAATCTTGCAGTCTCTGGAAAATGCGAGCCAAGGAAACCCACAAACTAGAACCTTTGTTAAGGTTAGTTGCATTTACTTTTTCATATCTGAGTTCAACCTGGTTTTTGAGTTTGATTGTGTCATTGTTTCAGACTATTATCTCTTATAATTGATGTGAATGTTTTCACTATGAACAGGTTTATAAATCAGGGTCTTTCGGGAGATCATTGGATATTTCTGCATTCAGCAGCTACAATGAGCTCCGCAGTGAACTTGCCCGTATGTTTGGCCTAGAAGGCCACTTAGAGGACCCCCTGAGATCAGGCTGGCAGCTTGTATTTGTTGACCGGGAGAATGATGTTCTCCTCCTCGGCGATGACCCCTGGCCGTGAGTTTCCATTCTCCTTATTATTGATATTGTTTTTCCTCGACCCTAGATTGAATGTCTGAATTCATTTAGTGTATAATTAATAAAAATAACTTTGGTGAATGCATTTAAATCTATCTGGGGTTTTCCAATGCTGACTTCTTTTACTAATTCCGGATTCGTTTTTTCATCAACCAGGGAGTTTGTTAACAGTGTCTGGTGTATCAAGATACTTTCCCCACAGGAAGTGCAGCAAATGGGCAAACGAGGCCTGGAGCTTCTGAACTCCATGCCAGTTCAGAGGCTCTCAAACGGCAGTTGTGATTACGTGACCCAACAGGACTCGAGAAATCTCAACTCTGGTATCGCCTCTGTTGGTTCTTTGGACTACTGAATGAATTCTCGACCCGTTACGATACTGTTTTTCTCCTGTAATATTAGTGTGCCTTGCAAAAACCCTTTTATAGTAGGTGGAAACAGCTGCCTAACTCTAGCTTTGAAGTTTATATTCATAAAAGCTAATAGTAATACTGTAATTATAAAAAAGATCTCTGCAGCCTATGTTATTGAAGCAACTTCGCTTTTACCAAGTTGATGTTCAACTATTTTTGAAGTTTACCAAGTTTTGAAAATGCTCATTCAAGAGCGCCATGTGATGGGGTCCATATAGTAACATCATGTGTTGAAAACCAAGCGTCGGTAAGGTTGTAGATGTCGAACATGTGGAGGAGACATGTTCCATCAAACTGTTTTATGAGAAGTGAAGACTTGCGTCTCAAAACTCATCCTGGAGAAAAATCTAGTATCATCAGGCTTTAACCATCTTTGGAAGCAGAGGGTGAAAAGTGAAACCTCTCTGCTGCAATTTCTGTCCCACCAAATTGTGACCATACTTGGTTTCTTAGAGGTGAAAAACTGAAAAACAATAAGATTAGCATATGAAATGGAAGGTTTTATCAATAACTCCATTAGAGCCTAACTGATGGGGTCGGGTTTGACGTCGGCAGGCCCTGACATGTGAGAGAAGTGTACATAAGGCCAATTTTCATGTTAATTTCCATCACATTCCAATCTCCAAAATTCAATGAATTTGAAAAGGAAAGGGGAGAATGGGGCTATATTAGTTGAGTTGAAGCCCTCCTTTTGGGGGTTGTGGGACTTCATGGCCATTTTTCTGCATGTTGTGTGGGACCATTTTGACAATGGATAAGGTTAGAGCACCCATCAAAACACTAAATAACAGTACCAAAAAGTTCGTAATTGAAGAGGGTACTGGTTTTGGTTGGCAATCCATCAATCTCAAAGATGTCCTTTTTAACTTACCCTGCATGGAAAAAGGCTTTTGTTAGACACCATTTTCTTCTGCTACTAAGCATGTTACGTTGCCTACAAGGAAAAACAAGGTTCAAATTCAATTTTAGCCCTGAGGAAGGTAGTTTCAGTTTCGAATATATTTGTGCTATGTTTTTGTGTCGTATTATATTTTAATTATTTTTCTAATATTAATTGCATCAGTTGCATTACTTGTTTCATATTTTCATGCAACACAGCATTAGGCCACACCATTAAATACAACCACCCTTTTTGACCATTAGTAATGAACAACACAGTGTGAGAGACGGTACTTTGGCCCAATTTGTATGAGCAAATTTGCCTTCTATGGATTGTTTATGCTAATATTGTTACAGCCAACCGCAGCACATGATATGAGTCCATGACATTCTTCCGGTTCGGAGAATATATTCTGCTTGAGCAGTAGTTCTTTTGGCATCTTGATTCTTTCTGGCCTCAGCCGCTTCTCGTTTTCCCGCTGCAATTTGCCTCACCATAGCAATCTTCTTCACCATCAGAGCTTGAGCTTGGGCTCTCATTTGCTCCACTTTTGCCTGAACAATGTGACAAGATGTAACCATAACCGATATTTTTATGATCGATTGCAACCATTCTGGTTAAGAGAAGACTCGAATCAGATGCTTTAGATTTTGAGGTTTATTCTTATGATTTCCAAGTATGTGATGATGAGAGAATTTCAAATACCTCGATTCTCTTCATTTCAGCTTCTAGTTTTGCTCTCTGCTGACTCTCCCATGTTTCTATTTTGATCTCTTCACGCTTATACCTGATAAATTGAAATTTGCTATCAGCAAAAGTAACTTGATGGGAACTAGTTTAAGAGGATACATCATATCGGTACCTTGCGGTATGCTTAGAATTTTCGGTTATCTCCCATGCAGCAGCTCGCTTTTCATATTCGTTTCGTTTAAGCTCCTCTATGTTAGCGGTTTCCACAGAAGATGAGTTTTTTTCCTTCTCGTCTTTGCTTGCCCAAGAAGCAATATTCATCTTCCCAAGCTGGACGCCGAGGGCTACAATCTCTCTTCTTGTCTTGAGCTTCATTTCTTGCTTGGACAATTCTTTCTTTGGATTACCAACTGGATCATCCAGAGTGTGTCTCGTTGGTTCCCCTCTACGGAGAGTAGAGGAGGCCGAAGATACCGGAGTTTGGAGGGGGGTTGTTGCCCCTACAGGTGTAGAAGTCCTTGAAGACTCTTGACTTGTAGCAGGGGTCATTTCAGTTCCCATATCTCTCATATAAACAGACCGTATAGCAGGCAGACCTACAAGCCCAAATCTAAAGGTATGAGATTAAGATTAAACAGAACAACCACGATGAACATATCATGTACTCACCAAAATCGAAAAGGTTTCAAGCCATCTATGAGGGTTAAAAAGGAAAACAAAATAGCATTCATTGCATCTATAGTTCGAGTAAAAGGGAAAATAAACTCTGCAAAGTCCTCTCCACCATCCCCTACATCCTAAATAAGAAACAATCGTATGCACATGTAATAATGTCCTTAAACTGAAACATTTTGGTGTTCTAAGCAACTGTTCATTATGGTGATCATACAATATTTCTCTGTAATCGGCCAGGAAACACAGTACATATATCTTCAAGCAGCAAATATGTTACCTGTTGTATCTGATTCCGGACTTTGAGCTCCACAAGGAATCGAAGAGAACTTCTCGAATTGAATCTGTTTGTCAGGATGACATAAATCAACTGCCGTAGCTTCAGCAACTTGATTAGCACGCAATCTATGATCACGGTTAACATTAATAGCTTGCACATTTTGCTTGTTAATTATCCATTTCTCGGCATCGTTCCACTTAAACGACATAGGTCTCGAGCACGACCTTGTTACAGAAGCATGTGTTGCTCGCACCCCTTTATGAAACTCGAAGCTCGACAAACTAGCGATACTATGGGATTCGATATTTTCGTCTTCAAATGTCCTTATTGGATGAATTGTGTTTGAATTACCATTATCACTCTTGGAGAATTCCTGCAATTTAGCACAGCTTACTTCAATGCTCTCCCTTGGGAATGACTCCTTTGATTGCTAGAAAATTTTTCATTTAGGCTGGAATCCATTGGCTCATTGGATACTTTAACTGCAATTTAATTGAAAATATTGAAACAGCATGCAAATTTAGAAAAATCAATGGAAAAATTACCTATAGGATCTTCAAAAGGAGCAGATTTCCAGTATATGAGATGAAATAATGAAGGAAAAGAGAAGAAAAAACAAACCTTCATCAAAGTCTCCATTTTGAGAGGCCAAGAGACTGTTAACAAAACTTCCATCCATTGTGATCTCGCCACATCATTTCCCTGTGGGGTTCACCTGACGTGGCCGTATCTCTTCTTAAGTTTCAAACTTTGAACTCAAAGATCAGTTCTTTGTAGCAATGGAAAATCTTTTGGTTCTTCTAAACTTTGTTTTTTCTTAATTGAACAAAATACAAAGGAATATAATTTTGCTCTGTACAGTAACTTGCATGGCCTACTGAAAACAGTAATTGGGTCACTATCAATCATTCAGGGAAAAAAAAGGCAAATCCCCATATTATAAACAGTTTTTTTTCCCTTACACTGATTTATCTACTAAAGGAAGAAGCAAAAGATAACAATAGATACTGCTGCAGAAAGAAAGTAGAAAGAACTACAGGGAAAATGATAAGAGAGCAGTTGAAATTTTTGAAAATATGTAATCAGTAAGGCTTTGTATCTGTACCAAAGGTTTGGTGAATGTTTTAAAGATTTGATTTTTATTTTCTTTTTGCTTGTGAATTTTGTCTTGGTCAGCTGATTTCTAGCACATTAGATTAGATATGGTACAAAATTCTTCAAACTTGGTCCTCTATCCTTAAATTTAAATGTTGGTCACCAAACCTGTAAATTAATGTGTTTCCGTTAGAGTTTGTATTGGCAGGCACTTTAAGATTTTAATTCATGGCATCAAATGACCTTTCTGCATATATTCAATCACTCCTATTTCATTAAATTCTTCCAAAAACCTTCATTTACTTTTTTCAAATTTTCTCAACTAATTGGAGAGATTTTTAGACCAACTAGTCATGCATGGCCTAGGGGTTGTTTAAACGTGTGTACGCACCAATATTTTACCAAACTTACAATAGGCTATGCCCTGTTGCTGCTTCACCCCTACCACCAAACAGCAGCCTCATGCCTTCAACCGTCACCGTCATTTTTCAAGCCTCCTGCAGAGATATCAACAAATCCCGGAATATCCGGAGCATTAAAAACACTTCATTATTAACACAGTGGATCCACAATATAGCTAGGCTTATTTTTATCGTTTTTAACCTATGTAAAATTGGTTATAAGAACCAAAAGCATGTAACAAGAGGGGAAGCTGGCTCTCGGTTATTCAGACCGAAAAATAGAAAAAAAATATATCAAGGGTCTTTTTCCTCTCGGTTTTTTCAAGCAGAAATACAAGAGCCCTTTTGAAGGTAGTTTTTTTTCCTAATCGTTTTCTCTTTGTTGTTTAAAAGATAATAAAAACAAAACAAAAAAAATAAATTAGAAGTAGAAGAGTAAGAGCAAGAGTACCTTGAGTTTGTGATGCTCCTCTGTGAATAGGGTCGTAGGGGAGGTGATAGGAGTCGGGTTAGTCAAGTTCGGGCATCGGCGCCGCCGTATATGGTGGTGGGTTTTTAGTTTCGGACCTCTCGACCAAATGATGGACGAAGAGGCTCGGATGGGTTTTCATCGGGGTTTATGGGCATTGGGTTTCGACGAGGCAATGGGTTTCGACGAGAGAAGGACCACCCATGTAGGGTGGCCGGGATGGTGGGTGTTTTGTTTCTTTGGTGAGTAGCCACCATGAGTTGAAGGAGAAGAGGAAAGGGAAATGAAAGTGGGGGAAGAAAACCATCGTGCAAATATGATTCTGGAAAGGGGAGATGTTTTTATTTTTAGTTTTTGGGGTAAATCATGCTTTAAGTCCCCCATTTTAGTGTGTTTCATGCTTAGTTATTAGTTTCAGGTTTAATCGTGTCACAGGTCCTCCTAGTTATAGATTTTTTTTTTGCAATTTAGTCACCATTTCCTTTTATTTTCTAAGATTTACGAATTAGATGCATGGTTTTGTATTATTTTAATTTAGTCCTCTGTTGTATGTTTTTTTTTCGAAATTTGGTGCTGATATTTATGATATTCCATTTTAATCCTATAGTTATGGTTTTATTATGATTATAGTGCTTCTGTTTTGGTTATGTTCTTGTTTCATGCAATGATTTTTGTTTATTAATGTTTAATATCCTAAGGTTATTATATATATTTTTTTGTCACCATATAGTAAGTAGATTCATATGTATATTATTTATTTTACCATTAAAGTATGTTTTATGTTTTATATATTTATTTTGTTTGTATTATTATATATTACTTTGTATATAATATTATAGCATGATAGAAAAATTTTATTTTTATATTTTATATATTTTAGAATAAATATCATGTGTTATGTTTAATAATATTTAGAAAATATGTATATATTTATAAAGTAATATAAAGTTAAAAATAAATTTAAAATGGTTCTTTTAATACACGTGTTTATTTTTTCTCTAAGTGCTTCAATGTATCATATTTTATTTTGTTTAAAAGTCTCATTAGCATAACTTAACCGATTGCATAATTGGATTAAGGGTAGTATTTATGTGTATTAAAATATTAAGAAGGGACAGTCTTAAAACAACTAGATGTCCTTTTTCGATATTTTAAAATAAATAAATATCCCACTAGAAAAAGCTAAAAAATTGATTGCACTTAAAATTAATTAGTTTTCAGGGGAAAAGGAAATATTCATTATTTTAAACTTATTAAGACAATTTGCTAATTTTATTAGAGATTAAGTCTTGGTGTTTTTAAATTATTGAATATCCCTTATCTTTTCTAATAATATTCGGATTAATAAATTAAATTTCTTTCTTTGGTAGAATAATGTTTTTTTTATGGAATCCTTAGGAAAAATTATTATATTCTTTTTATTTCAGTTGGGAAGAGAAATATTCGTCCTAAAGTATTTTAGAGAGTATTTTCTCTTCAATTGGAAATAAGAGAATATTTTATATTTTTCCTTGGAATTTTTGTTCTATAATATTTGTATGATTGAATTAGGAATAATGGAATCGCGATTTAAATATATATTCGAATTCTTAGATTTCTACTATTTAGAGACAATATATAATCGATGGGTACCAATTTTGGGCGTTGTGGGGGTGCTAATCCTTCCCCACACGTAATCGACCCCCGAACTTTTTTTTATTATTAAAAATGAATTTCTGGTTATACGTGGATCGATGCATCTTTTAAAATGAGGTTTTTTTTCTTAAAAAAAACTCTTTTAAAAGAAGATTTTTGGGTATTCGGCCTACCTAACCCAAAAGGTCGATGGCGACTCCGAAACATTTCTTTTACAAAATCGGGTTTTTACGAAATGAGTCGAGACTCGTCGTATCGCCGGAAATCGGTTACGACAGCTTGGCGACTCCGCTGGGGATGATTAGAGGCTCAAGCCTTAAATCGATTATATATGGTGTCTATAGTTAGAAATTGAGAATTCGGTTATATTTAATTTACGATTCCTTTGATTCCTTTCAATTGTTATTTAATATCTTTGTATACTAATGAGTGTATTTGATTAATTTTCAGATGTTAAAGTCTCAGATTCGCTTTAGTTCATTTTTGTGTCGTTGTTTGTCAAAGGTTTGATAATTTCTCCTCACACAACACTTGCATTGCATAACATAAGCTATATACACGAGCTCTTCCTTTTAGTGGGAGTGAAAGCGACGTCTTCGTGAGAATTATTCTCCGTGTCAGACCTAGCAATTAGCTTCCGGGGTACATATATCCTATGTCTTTGTGAGAATTTATTCTCCGTGTCAGGCATAGGGAAATGTGCCCCCTCGAATTGAACTCGATCCGCTTAAGCCTATAATGGGTGAGGATTGAGGGTCTGGCTCGCCCAAGGGGGCACCAACAAGGACAATTCGAGTACCTTTACTCTTAGAACCGAAACTCTGCATATAATAAACAATAGAAACCCACCCGATTTAAGACCAAGCCGAAACTCTGTCCATAGGTACCCAAATAAGTGTACACAAGGGAGAAATGAACTCTAACCTTTTTTAAATTTATTTTTATAAATGCATGTGAATTAGAAAATTATGCGGTTAAGGTTTATCTTATTATTTTAAGTATATGGGTTAGAAAGCATGATTGGGTAGGATTGTTATTTATTAAAAAGTATGTTTGGGTAGCTATCATGATGGGTAGGTTTTTTTTTTTTTTTTTTTTTCAAAATTTTATTAACTCATTACATGTACTAACTCGTTTCATTTTCTTGTTTCCTTTCATTTTTTATATTTGCATTGCATCATTCAAGATTGAGGGTGTTGATCTTTAGTTAATCATCAAATTGGAAAGCTTTCAGTAATGAACGAAAAGTATTCGAGTCAAATTGTTCAAAACTCCGAGGTACGACAGTGGTCTGAAGCACTACAAAGACAAGAAGGGGACAGTTTGCAAGCCGATCATGTGTCAGAATTATTGGGTTATGCTCCTATTTCTCTTAAAAGAAATGACGTCCAAGACTTACGAGACATTTGGGAAAAATGGGAATCAAGTAAGAAACTGCAGTTTTACCAGTGTTATGGGGACATTTCTTATCTGTTGTATGTTGACATAGAGGATGAGCTGCTCCGAGCCTTGATTCAATTTTGGAATCCAGGCTACAACTGCTTTACTTTCAATCAAGAAGATATGGTTCCTACCATCGAAGAATATATTGCTTTGTTGCACATAGAA